CACAGCCTACCCTACAGCTCACCCCATGGGTGCCCCAGGGCTCAGTTCACCCCATGGGTATCCCAGGGCTCGGCTCACCCCACAGCCCACTCCACAGCTCACCCCATGGGTGCCCCAGGGCTCAGTTCACCCCATGGGTATCCCAGGGCTCGGCTCACCCCACAGCCCACTCCACAGATACCTGAGGGCTCAGCCTGCCCCACAACCCGCCCCACAACCCACCCCACAGGTGCCCCAGGGCAGAGTTCCCCCCCAGCTCACCTGGCCAGCACTGCTCATGAACCCCTCCCGCCCCATGGAGCCATTGCAGACCATTAGACCAGTTTAGACCAGTACAGACCAGGCCTAAGAAAAGCAGGCACCAGCTCCTGCCCGCCCTAACCCATAGGATAACGTGTGTGCAGCAAAGTGGGGCACGGGCGTGCAAACACACGCGTGCACACACGTGTGCCAGCAGACCTTTCACACCAGCATCCCCCAACGCTGTCACCCCCCAACGCTGTCACCCCCCAACGCTGTCACCCTCCAGTCGCCTCTCACGTCCCCACGCTCGTCCCTCCTGCAGGCCCTGTGTGTGCGTGTGCACGCCTGTGTGTGTGCATGTGTGTGTGCACACGTGTGCCCGCTCACGCACAGGGGTGCGGGGGGGCCCTGCGGTGCCCACGCCGGGGGCCCCGCATCCCTCTCTGTTCCCTTGGTGACGGACCCCCGTCCTCCGCTGGCACCTTGAGCCTGCCGCCAGCCAGGGCTTTTGTGGCTGGTTTTAATTAGAGGCTCTTAAGTGTGAAACAAAGCTGAGGGCAGGGGCCGGGGGGGCCCTTCCTCTGAGCTCCTGGGGTTCCCCCGGGGGTCCCCACCGTGACTGGCATTGCCTGGCACAGCCACTCCATCCCCTGATTTCGGCTTCGCCCTCCTCCGTGCCCGTCCCCAAGGGATGGGGGTGGTGGGAGACGGTGCTGTCAGAGACCCCCCATACACACACCCCAAATATTGCCCTCCCGAGCGGTGCTGGCCACCAGCCCCACAGCGGGGCAGTGTGTGGGGCCGGTGTCACCCACGGGTGTGCACCAGGGCTCCGGTCCCCAGGGAGGAGGCTCAGAGGGTGCCCGGAGCTGCCCGTGGCTGGGCTGGGGGTGCTGGGAACCGCTCTGGGTGCTGCCGGGCATCCAAGGCCAGGAACTGGGGGGGCTTCCAGCTGTGTCCCCCATCCCTGGCCCTCCTCCCACAACCACTCCACCCCGGGCGCTGGAGGAGGCCTGGGGAGAGGGGACCATGCCCTCCAGTGCCCACCAGCATCCCCCAGTGCTGTACTGGGATGAAGTGGGAGAGGAGTAGTGGAGGCATCAGGACTCCTGGGTCCTCCTTTACCCTGAGCATCTCCTGGGGGGCTGTGAGGGGGAGCCTTGGGGGGAACTGGGCTTGGCCCCATACTCCCAGTAATGCCCAGCCTGTCCTGCTGGCAGCACCCACCCTCTCCTGCTGGGTGCCAGGAGGGGTCCCTGTCCCTCACAGCATCCCCTCTACCCAGGATGCCAACCCTAGACCCCCGCAGGGAAGCTTCTGGGGAGGGGCCAGGATCCTCTCCCACCCAGTACGCCCCTGGCAGTGACTGGGGACAGGGCTGGGAGCTTGGTGGCAGGGTCAAATGGAACCAAAAGGATTCCCCAGCCACCTGCATGTCCCTGTGAGGGGACACCCCTGAGCAGGTGGGACCTGCGTGTCTACCAGGTGTGGGGCTGGCACCCCCCCAGAAGGGCTCCGTGCCCGCTCCAGGTGGGACCACGTCCCCGTGTGTCTCCCATGCCCAAGGTCCTGGGTACCCCCTGTCCTGAGCCACCAGCCCCCCCAGCCCCCAGGAGGAGAGGGAGCAGGGGGGGGCAGACCCAGATGGAAGCGACATCCCCCTCCCACCCCCGGAAAGAAGCCAAAATCCACAACTTTTAGGAAGCCAAGATCCACGTGGCTGCCCCGCCACCCCCGCACCCCCTCTTGTCCCCCCCATCCCCAGCCGGCAGGGCCAGGGCCGAGGCCACCGAGGCGGGGGAACGCTGAGGGGGGTCACACGAGCCCAAGACCCCGCATCCCAGGGGAGCCGTGGCCGGAGGAGCCACCCCACGTCCCGGGAAGGGGCCGGGAGGCGGCTGCAGGCCGGGATTGTGGCCCTGGGCTCCGGCCCCCGCAGCCAGGCCCTCGGCCAGCACCTCCCCGGCCGGGGACTCGCTGGGCGGCCGCCAAGCGCCGGCCGTGCCGAGCCACCCTCCCCGGCACATGGCGGCGGCGGCGGGCCCGGCAGCACCCC